TACGGATTAATTTAATAATAATTAATTACTTCGACAACAAATTATAATGAATAATAATTTTAGCTCGCTTAATCAACCCTCATATGTATGTATGCATATAATATAATAAGAAAAAGCAATATGTATAGTGTTTTTAAAGTTTCTAATAAAAATCTCTTCGTCGAATCATTTGCAGCTTTTAGAACATTGAGGTCCATTGCACTGTAGGTCCATTCGCATAAACATTACGAAATCCAGTCCATAAGAGTTTGCTCGCAAACTTGAAATAATTTGTTCATTTTTTTTTGGTTTATTTTATTGTTATTAAAGAAAATGTAAACAACTTTAAAAAATAACGAAAAAAAAATAATAAAGTAATAAACAAAATAAAAAGCACATAAAACTGTCATTTTAAATGAACAAAATATTATATTTATGTAGTGTACATACGTTCACACGTTTTAGCATTATGTATATGTATACATATATATTTTTTTAAATAAAAACAGCAATTTTGTTTCATTAAAAAAAGAAAATGTCAAAAAAATTGAAAGAAACAAGTTAACTTCTTTCGCAAAAAAAAAAAATTAATAATTAAAAATTAAAAACGTTTATGAAAACCATTCATTAAAATTAATAAACAAAAAACAGTAGAAATAAAAATGTTGTCATACTCGAACGAGTACGTGTGTAGGGGTATAATTGACTTATAAACATTTTCATTTAATTCATTCAATTCAAATTAACAAAACTTTTGTGAAGTAAATTGGGTTAAATGCTTCTTTTATCACAGTTAAAATGGCAGACAAAAATTGTTTGCTTATTTTATTTATTTTAATTATTATACATTATTTTATATATGATATAATAAGAGCATGTTACATTATCTGCATTACATCTGTAAATAATATTTTATTTTCCTAAAAAAAATGTACACAATAATTGTTAATTGTTCATATCCATCTAAAAAAAATTTTTGAGATTAACTGTGAAACAGACTGTCCAAGTATTATTATTTTTATTAATTTCAATATTTTTTTCTTGTTTTTATATAATACAATATTATAATAAAAAGAATTCCAATATTTTGAATATATTATACTCAATATATTATATTCAATATGTATATTTTTAATTAATAATATTATTTAAAGCAAATAAATTTATTATTGTTATTAATAACAATCAAATCTCAGAATGGTTACAGGCTCCTCGGGGAGGTATGCAGATCTGAGGTCAATTAGTCTGATGAAGTGATAAAGAATAATCTAGCCAAGGTGCAAAGAGGGGTTTTGAAGAAACCTCGCAATTACTAAAGAGTAAAAGTGCTCAGGTGCATTGACTCAACTAGCCTCAACATAATAATAAAAAGATTTAAGTGATTAAAATAAAAGCCTAATTAATTCTTATTTTAGTGTTTATTATTATATAGTATTCAATATACCTTCCATTGGAGTTTTGAAGTATCTATAACGTCTATCTCAGAGCGGAGTGTTAATATAACTGCTCTTGGAAACATATAACATAAGGCTGTTATTTATAGTATTTACAATTTTTTCTTTTACAATAGTTTTTAATAACTAATAATAAATAATTAATACTTTACGATTTAACAATAAATTAAATATTTTATATTCAAATCTAAGTTCCCCAAAAAAGACTATCGATGATAATCCATATATCATTTTAAATGAGCAATCAGCCTTGGCCACTTCCTAATTAATTTATATTTTTAACTATTTTTACTGGGGTCTGCTTTTGGGTGATAACAATAAATCAATATTTCTGACATGTAACTTTCGACAAAACCACTTTTATGGAATTATATATTTAATTACAATTAATAATTTTTATTATATAGTAATTTAAATGACTGCTGATTTTTTTTCTGGACTTTCTTTCAACACGCCGCATCTTGATTAACTTTGAAAGTAAGGCCAGTACAAACAATTTTTCACTTGTCTCGGAATAAATAGTCACCACATAATTTATGATATGAAAAACCCTTTTTCCATAACTGGAAAAAGTGGCCCTTGGGGCTCCATTTGTTTTTTTATAAAAATAATAATTTAAAATAATTTATTTTTATATAATACTAGATAACCCGACAAACGTTGTTTTGCCTTATAAATTATTTCTAGTTTCTAGATAAATTCTAGTGTAGACAAAAAGTAACTTACTTATTATAAGTGTGTAAGTATGTGGTGAAATATGCATGAAATAGGCATGGAGCGCTATGAACGAAAAGGAAAATAAAAATAACAAACGCCAAACAATATTATTTTTAAGATATTATAGTTTATTAATTAAATTATTAATTTGAAATCAATAGATTTGTATGATACCAAGTTCCCTGGCAACAACTGTTGTATCTTCAAATTTAAATTGTTTTGGATTAACTGTAAATAATAATAATGATAATGAGCCAGTTACATTAACCAACAACAGTCGAAGATAAAAGCACTCAGTGTGTCTTGGATTAACTGTAAATAAGCGTTCGATTTAAATAAATTGAGACATGCATCAACTGTTGAAACTTGCTTGCGGGGCATCCATTTTTTTGTTTGAGCCCATGTGAAATAGCGTGGTACTTGTGAATAGAGTAATGTTCTTGCAAAGGCACCAAAATCATCCGTACTATTACACAATTCAAAAAATGCAGTGAGTGTAGATTTAGGTGGATTTGTACCACGATCAATCACTGTCTCGTTCGTGAAAAATACACGCTGACCTTTTTCAAGATGGACTGCTAACTGAACGAACAGCTGCTGGATCCCGTTCATGAATTAGAAAACCGAAGACACGCCAAGCAGCTTCATTGGAGCTGATGTACCGACCAATTTGGTAGAGCGTAATTTCACCGGTTTTGTTCATTGGAGGAGCATTTACATTAGTATTTTCTACTCTAAACACAGCCATATCAATGCCTTTATGGACATACTTATATATTTGATGCTCTTCACAGAACTGCAAAACTCAACATTTATATGAGCATTGTATGTCTTGCTTAGCAGAGGCGAATACGGCACCACCCGCCATTGTCCCCATTATCGGGATTTTTTCGACGATATATTGGATATCCGTCGGTATTTGTTATAGTATCATTAGTGAAATCTTTAGAAAAATTTTTAGTACATTTTCCATCTGCCATGCAAGGCGAAGACGAAGAAACGAAGTGGATGTAAATGCTCGATGTACTTGTTGGCGTAGTTACATAAAATATTAAGAAAAAAATTTTTCTTTTTCAAAAATATAAATAAAATTTATGTGAAAAAAATAAAAAAATTTTTTGTTAAAGCAATAAGGATATTTTTGCTGGATAGGGACTCCCTAATCACTTTAGCGGTATGAAAAATAGATAGTAGCCGATTCTCATACCTACTGAATAAGCATATAAAATTTGGTAAATATCGGTAAAGCCGTTTCGGAGGAGTACGGTAACTAACATTGTGACATGAAAATTTTATATATAAGACCGCAAACAGACATCGTTTGGCCTTGTGACTTATTGATGGTCTTTGCAAATGCCAATCTAATAGGAAATTGAACGCGTTTGAATTAAATTGGCTTGTCTGTGAGAATCATTGGAATTCCTGGCAATAAAACTTTTTCGTTTCGAAACTTGCCATTCAAAATGGTGCCTTCGATAATGTTTTTCATCAATTTTTTAATTACCAATCGCGTATTATTGCATAGCCGTGGTGGGTTCAAATTCCGAAGTAAAATAATCGGTGATCCAACTTTCAGTCGTAAAATGTGTGGTGGCATGCCTGGCAAATCCAGTAGGTTTAAAAACTCTGCTGGATAGTTTACAATTTCGTTGGTATCACAAACTGTATCGATCGATTTGTATGATATTAAGTCGCCTGGCAATGTCTGTTTTATCTTGAAGTTTAATTCATCAACGTCCACGTTTTTTTTTGCTGCTAATGGCTCTTTCTGCCAGCCACCCATGATTTATGTATTGTATGTGTACATCTGGAAATACGGGAATCAACGATATTGCAGAAATTAGGGGGCAGTTTTATGAATTCAGTATTTTCATAGACAACAACTTTTCATATCATAGCAAGTTTTCTTTTTCAAAAATATAAAAAAATTTATGTCAAAAAAATAAAAAAATTTTTATTAAAGGAATAAAGATATTTTTGCTGGATAGGGACACCCTAATCACTTTAGCGGTATGAAAAATAGATAGTAGCCGATTCCCAGACCTACTGAATACGCATATAAAATTTGGTAAAAATCGGTAAAGCCGTTTCGGAGGAGTACGGTAACTAACATTTTGACAATGTTAATTTTATATATAAGATATTAAAAAATAATATTTTATTTTAAAAACGATAACATATGTACCGTTTAAAATAAAAATAAAATTTTGAGAATAATTTACTTTTGTTAGGATCTATTTGTATACTTAAAATTTATTATTCAGTTTATTTAAAAAAAAAAAAGAAGAAAGAGTCCAACAAATTATTTACGGAATATAAACTAAACAATAAAAAAATCGAATATCACTAATAATGACTACTTGTCAATGCTCGAAACAGGGTTGCATGGTCAGCCAAATTTCAATTAATTAATCAAATTTTTGTTATTGTTTCTTCTTTACTATTCGAACCATTCTAGTTTCTTATTCTAGTTTCTTATATTCTGACAAAATGGCAGTATATTGTGTCTCATTGGAATGAAAGAAAATAATTGTATTTGCATTTAGGTAAAACATTTATTTCGTTCAAGATATTTCAATTAAATATCACTTCACTAATAAATAATTAATTAAATGGACTCTAAATGGACCCTACTAAAGTATTTATAAGATGCTTTTAATGAAAATAACTATTACTGGAATAAAATTATTATTAAAATAAAAATAATTATTAATCAAATTTTTGTTGTTACTTCTTTACTACTGTTCAAACTCTTCGGCACACCGAAAAATAAAATCAACCTAATGAATTATTATTTATTTTGTTGTTTACTTAATAGATTATTTATTTTATTTCCAGATATATTTATAGAACTTAAAGGTTTCATCAATGTAAAATGGAGCGAACCATCAAAACCAACAAGTGTCGAGCATAATGACAGCAATGATTGCGATAATATAATTTGTTATCAAGGAAAGCAAAATCTTCTCAAACAAATTATAAAATTCGATGAAAATATTGCCCTTAACCGCTATAGCAAATATACCAGAGACTTCGAGTTCACCATACCCAGTGAGGTACCAGCGACATGCAAACACAAATACGGCGAAATTAGTTATGAACTTAATTTGATTCTGAAACGCAAATCAAAATTTAATAAAATTTTTCATGAACGTATCGTAATCAGAAACGAAAGCGATTTGAACATGCACGGCAAATTAAATGAGGTAAGATTAAATATAAAATCATGTGTAATAACAATAAACAAATTTAATATATAAATATAGAAATAATAATATATTTATTTAAAAATTTTGTTAAAAATGTTTTTATCATAAAAAATTACACAACATAACAAATATCCACTATATGCCATTTACAAATACTGGTATGGAGTACATCATATAATTAAAATTCATTATATTATTGTCTACCAATATTAATAGCTAATTATTCATGCACTCACATATGGTAGAAGTATATATCAAACAAACAATCTGAATGAAATTATTTTTCATACCTTGTCTGTTTTTATCATTTCTATTATTTTTTAGCCAAAAACAGCTTTCGGAGATGGTCTCAGCTTTACCATACCACGCAGTGGCTACGTGCCTGGGCAAATTGTTGACTTTGAACTGAAGTTCACAAAACTTAGAATAGAAAATAGAATTATCGTAAATTTATGTGAAAAAACCACATGTAGAAGTTTAAGTCCAACAGTAAAAGTAAAAGAAAACGTTAGAGTATTGAATAGTATTACAATGGAGAAGACGGGTCTTTGTTCTCATAAATTAAATATGGGAAGAGTGTGTGTGCCGTTAACTATTTCAGTAAGCAACCAAAAATTAGATGATCTCGTACAAGTTTCTTATTATCTGGAAGCAATTGTACTGAATTCGAAAAGGATGGTATTGCAGAAATTAGTTTTACCTATAATTATTGGAACAATTCCTCTGGAATATGAAGTTAAAGAGCAGTTTAATAGTGCACACTTCTGCTATGATAACTTAGGTAAGTAAATATATACATACATGTAATTCAACTATTCGATATACATCTATAGTTGGGTACATGATATATAACTATATGTAGTATATATTAACTCACGAAACTAGTGTTTCATACATTTGAAGTCGTGTTGATATTTTTCAAGATAAAGCAGAAACAGAGTTGTGACAATAGTATTTGTTTTTAAAAATAAATTTTAAATTGCACTTAATGTAAAAAAAAATTGTTCATTATTATTAATGATTTATTAATATTTCGACACAACAGAAAATAATGACTATTGTTTATTGTAGAGTGATATTTGTTTTTCTTGCCAGCGAGCTTAAAAAAAGGAACTTCCAAAACTGTATAAATAACTAATAACATATTTAAATCAATTATTTATTCCGATTAATTATTTATAAGTAGAGATTAATATTTACATGTAAACCTTTAAAGTAACAACTGATTATCTTAATATTATTTTCTAGTATTTATTTGCCAATTTATTAATGCTAAATAACAGTTATATATTTATTTTATCTGAGGCCAATTGCTTGAAGAAATATTTAGCTTGGTTCCTATTTAATCAGCTAGACATTCGACGACGGTGGGTTAGTGAAAAACTACAAATAAAGCTTCAAACTTTCAAATGACACTAATTACATAGATTGAGCCTATGCTTAAAGTTCAAAGTACTTTTGAATATTAGAATACCCAGCTATTAGGTCATACTAGTGTTTGACATGTTGATATTCACTAAAGAGTTATTAAGATATAAAGATATAATATATACATAACATATTTTACATAAGAGTAACCACTGAAATCTTCAAATTACCCTACTTAAAGCTGAGTTCTATAACATAAGTAACCAAACCAATCCATTATATTGTGGAACTGTGGAACTACTATCCAATCTAAGTAAGTTAATTAATGTATCTCTTGCTGGTTTGCGTAAGGCAAACCTGAAGAGTTCACCTGTGTTCCTATAGTCTCTGGAACACCGCTGGTTTGCGGTGTTATTTGCAGTTAAGTTACTACAAATGCAATTTTTAAAGTTTGCATTCTTTAATTCTTTTTTATTACATTTGGAACTCTGGTCAAGTTTGTCACATGCAACACTTTCTACAGTAAAGTAAAATAAGTGTTCATATGGCCGTATTCTTGGCATATTGTGCATTGCAGTAAACCATTTTGTTTGTGGGTCTCTCCAACGGTAATTCTACGGTGGATTTAGTACTGCAAAGTAGATAAGACTTCCCTCTTTTTAAGCTTACCGGTTACAAGCAGAAATTTGGCCATAACCAATCATTGTGATACGGGATTTGTTGACTGTATTTGTTTCTGTTCCAACACTGAAAATTTCCTTGACCAAAAAATTGTGAAAAATTTTTGTTATCATAAAAATATTTTATTATATCTCTGACTTTCGGAGTCAATTTGGATTTTAGCTTTATATATATAGTCTCTGGTTAAAGTAGCACTATAGACAGTATTGTTCCCAATGAGACAATTTAGGATGTTGGATATAAGTTCTTGCAGGTAAATTGAAGACGGTTTTAACTGTTTAGGAGTGGATTGTTTGGCTTCTTTTTTGAAGAAACGCTATCTTATTGCTTTCTAAATTGTCTTTTTGAGGACCTAATTTGCTTTTTACGTTGACATAACAGTCCATGTCATTAAGATTAATAATTTATCTAAATTATCTCAATAAATATAATGAAAACTCAAAATTTAATCAAAGACACTCAATGCATTCATTTTAATAGACTTAATAGGTTGTATTAGCATTTATTACAGTTATTAAGTACTTAATGTTATGCAGTTTAAATATAATACATGTAGGTATATATAACCGCGGTGGATAAATAAATTTATCAAGAAAAGACTTTTAAAGTACCTGAAATAAAAATAATCTTTCTCCTAAAATAAATATTTAAATATTTTAAATATTTTTTAATGTTTTATAAAAATACAATAAAATATAAAACTATATATGTACTATGATAATCCTAATCTTTTTTTTTTCTTTTTTTGTTTGTATTTTAAATAGCAGCCACTATATCCGAAAGTAAGAATTTAAACAACGAGCTGGGGGAGTTGGAGATTATACCTAAGCAGTATGTTCTTGATAAGAAATGTACAAAAGATGGAGTTTCAGATGACAATATCGTAACGATATTCAGTGAATCTTCATATACAAATCGATTACTCAAGTATATAGTATAAAAACATTCAGTATTTAAAAATAAGTATATATCAAAACTATATAATTGTATTATTACTGTTATTATTTTTATCTTTTTTAAGCTTATGAAATATATATATAAATAAATATTCTAAATATAAAAACTATTCAAAACTTGTTGTGCTCTCAAATCCAAAATCCAAGAATATTGTAGAAATAGTTCTACTAACTGATTGAACAAATTTATTTTTATTCATTTATATTCAATTTTATATATTGAATATATTTGAAATATATATCAGATATCAGAATCATATCAAAGAGAATAAATAATGTATTGCAAAGTAGATTTTTTGAAACAGCATTCCCAGTAATATAACCGATCTCTTAACTTTTAACGAATGCTAATACTTTACATGATTTTTTGGTTTCATATGTTATATAGGGCTACGAGTCTATTCTCAAGGCGGATGAGTGTCCCACCAACATACAATGATATTCTAGCCAAGTTTGTTGACATGGTGTTTCAACCAGCAGTGTCTTGTTAGAAACTCGGTGTAAATTTTAATATCACCTCTAGAGTCAGATGAAGAAATCTGACAAAAGATGATATACTGTTAATATATTTTAAGTAATAAAAAGAATATTTACAAGTCACCAGTTTTAAATTAATAAATACAATGATATATCAATTATATAATAATAATCTTGTACTTACCTCGTCGTTACCATGCCATCTGCGAAATACTTAAAAGATATAGGAAAGTAATAGTTCCGAATAGAGAATATAACATAATGCCTGAAAAAAAAGATGTGTTAAACATTTTAAAATATAATTGAATAGGGTGTTATATAATGTATGTATTTAGTAGTATAGTACATTGGAGATAAAACACTCTGAGATTAAGGGGTACTCAACTATTTCTATAGTGTCTAAAAGAGTTGCTCAACTTAAAATATATTTAAATTCACTAACAATGGAAAGTCTTAAGTTATTTGAAGTTTTGCATTTTAGCCTTCTATAGTTAGTCTATAGACTATGAATTCATTTATGTCATTTTTGAAAAATGTAAATAGTACCAGTGACATAATAAAGCTTTGTTTTATGCCATATAAAGTCTTAATGATATCAAAATGGGAGTCGGAGAATGGAGTTATTTCTATCGCATTTCAGTCTGTTTAAAGATCAGACTGAATAAAACATTTAACACTATTGTGTTGCTGTATATTGATTCCAAGAATTTTAACGATTTCAGGCATTATCATTTATGGTATTGTTAAATTTCGACATATAAGCCGTTTGGGATAACCAATCTAAAGCTGCTTCAAGTTTCATTAAAAAACATATACTTTATCTTTCATTAGGTTTAATGTATGCAATAAAAGTCAAACAGTAGATGTTACTTATAAGGGAAGGTATTCTGTTAGTTTCTTATGTTTTTCCACCAATTTATAGAGCCTTTTTATAACACCGGGCATCATTAGTTTAAGCCCACAGTTCATCATTGTGAAGCTATAGCGCTATGATGCATTTTCTTATTGTCAGTGATTTTCATGTGAACATTTTTAACTCTAACACCCGATATATTGAAAACTAAGCAATAGTGACATATTTCATCATGAAAAAAGTTTTATAAAAATAATAAAATTGACTTCTATAAAATTTATTGTCAAATGGAAGTGGACAAGAAATTAGAATTGCGTCATATAATTGCAATATATATAATAAATGAATGAATGTTATGTACCAAAATATTAAATAACTGTTATTTTAACTGGAATACAAATTAACTAATCATTCAAATATACGAAAATGAATAAATATTTGCACTATTCTATGACATTAAGCAATATTTATGAATATATAAAATATTGACTTTGGGATGATAACAGCCGGTTCTGTTACCTCTTGGTTTATTTGATTTTTTTCACTAAAAAAAATATTCAAAAAATTATTATTTGTGTTGATTATATAGCTTTCTCTTAAATAATGTTTTAATCTTAACAAATCACACATCTGCTGCATTAAGACATACTCGAAATGCCATAGTGAAATGTCTTAATCTGGCCGAACTTGGGACTTCGCATAAGAAGTGTTTATTTGACCCCGGTACTTTTTACTTCCTGCAGCTTCCGTAGTTTTAGATAAACAGACTGTATAAGTTTTCGGCGTTTTACGTATACCTAATATAAAAACATTTTATATATAAAAATCGAAAAATATTTCAGCACAGAGAGAATTTTCAAGTAAATTTTTAACGAACTTTGGCTAATAATGTTGTTAAGGTTAAAATTTCAATTAAAATAAATTTTAATTGAATTCAATTTACATTGAATTTCATTTAAATTGACTAAAGCCGTAAATTAAACTTAATATAGCAGAGGACAACGCCCCATTCATTAGACGACCATAGTTGTCTAAAAATTGTATCATGTATAAATGGCAGTCATGGAAGGACGAGTAAACATGATACCACATGTGAAGCTGCCATTAAAAGACGATATAAGAAAACACTATTAGAACTTCAAAGTTCAAAACATAAGCGTAAAAGCTCAAAACAAAGGATATGCAGGATAACTGCTACACATTTGAACAGCTTCAGTATTTATGGCGCCAATTTATTGATTTGAAAATTGGGTTGAAAAAATTCTGTTTGGTATAAGAAGCATAACAAAATGGAAGCTGCGTGCGTGCAAATGATTTTGAAGAGAAAATATATTTAAGAAAATTAAATAAATTCTAAATTCTAAATAATTAATTAAGTTAACTGTAAATGTAACAAAAATGCCCACAACTTGTGAATTTCAATTAGATCGCCTTAATTTAGTGTATAATAGTGGCGAATATGTGAAAGGACGAATTTTACTTTCAACGAACAAAACGAAACGTGTTAATGGTAGGTAATGGTTGGCAAAAAGTAAACACGACTCATTTCTATTGTGTATTGAATTCTATTTAATATTGTCACTCTGAGAGGTTTCTAACTGCTTTCGGCAATTATCTTTTCTTTGTTCAGCGGTGTACGTAACATTTGAGGGTGAGGCCAAAGTGCAGTGGTCCATTAGTGGTAAAAATGAGACGAGTTATTATGGACATCAACAATATTTATACACCCGCACTAATGTACTTAGTAGTCCAGATTTTCGTGCTGGCACCCATATTTATGCCTTAACACTGCGTATCCCCGAGGACAGTCCGTCAAGTTGCAAAGGACCATTTGGCTATATTGCCTATAGTATTTCCTTAACAATTGAAAAACCTTGGAGTTTTGATGAAGTTTTTCGCAAACCCATAATTGTATTGCAGAATTTAAACTTAAACCATTCACCGGAATTTGCGGTAAGTATTACTTTTAAAATAAATTATACATAAATACGTATAGGTGTGTGTGTAAACTGTGTAAAATGGTTAGCCAAAATTTCATTAACAAAATTAAATTTCATTAATTTCATTTCATTGAAAAATGAAATATATTATAATTATATAAATATAATATAAAATTTTTTTGGAAGTCATAATACTAGGTTTTTTTTGTTAACTAATTACTAATTACTAATTATTTAAAAAAAAAATAAATAAATAAGTGGATAAATAGGTTTTGTAAACTAGATGTATTCATAAAATTTAAGATAGCTGGGGCGTGCTATCGTGCGACAGACTTTTAAATATACCAAGGATGATAATGATGATGTTAATAATGATCATTGAGATAACGATAATGATGATAGTGTTTTTATTTTTAAAATTATTTTTGAAACATTTAGTATGAAATACAGGATAGACTAAAATATTTTTTTTTTAGTGTTATATAAAGAAAATACTCGATTCAATTTTAAATAAAATTTAAACGGAGTTTATATTCGTCTAATAGCGGGAACTGAAAATGATAATACAAGCCAGAAATAATGTTGCATTAAAATGTTTTTTATTATAATCTTGTAGATAATTTCCAGACATTTATTTTTTGAATATTATTTCCTGGATACTATGTAACTATGTAGGAGTTACATAGTCCATTCATTCAGTCCAATTTTTGACTATTTTTTGCAATAAATATGGTCGTATAGCGTCAATGGTGGCATGAACATTGGCTTCCGTTGCTTCAAGAATTGGTAGGGTTTGTCAGCATAAATCACTGACTTAACATAATCCCACAAAAAGTAATCGAGAGGCAGTAAATCGGACAAATCAGTGGACCAGTGAACAGACGAACTTCTGGATATAAAGTTGTAACCAAATAGATTTTGCAATAAATCCATTGTTAAGCGCGCTTTATAACAAGTTGTGTCATCTTGTTGGAACTAAATGTCGTCAATGTATAATTGATTAATTTTTGGTAATTGTTGACAAAAATTCGGTCAAAAGGGCTCAATAGTGTTCGCCATTCACCGTAACGGCAGCTTCTTCCTCATATCGAGAGAAATAAGAACCGATGCTGCCGTCAGCGTGTTAATTGCACCAAACAGTCAATTTTAATGGATGTAATGATGATTCGTTAACGGCTTATGGATTAATACGGCAATTTTGCTTATTGGCTTTATGAGCTTTATTACTAAGCTCTAAATAAGTAAGTTTCTACAATTTGGAAACGTTGTTCTAGCGTTAAATGATTCATGATGTCTTGCCAAACCATACTTAACAGTAATGGCAACACAATTTGACATTCTCAGCTGTCAAATCATAGTTACTGATATCGATAGTTCTCATACAGCTAAGAAAACACCCGTTATATCAGTTACACAATGCTGGAATGAAATAGACATCATGATTAATTTGTTAAGCAATGTTTTTATTTTTTATATATTAAAATGTGTTTTGGTTTGAGTATATATAAAAAACACACATTTGATAATTCATATTAAACTGTTTGTATCATTCCCAATACCAATTTCTTTATAATTTGATATTATTGTCAGTAATTCCACATTTAAATACTCTCAGTTGGCCAATTAGTGTCTTATATCTAAGACTTGAATAGACATTAGTATATAAACACTAAAAACACAATTATTTTAACTTAATTTAAGCTATACATATAATATAATACATACATATAATATACTATAATTATTATAATTGTACTATAATATATAATTATAGAATATATATATTTATTACTATATATCAAAGAAATTTACTTGCGAAATATAAATAAAAATATATCACAAAGTTGATATCAATAAATAAATGACTGCGATATTCTTACTAGACATAACATCTTTATTAAAAATTTATGTGCTATATTCGTGCACTAAAATTGACTATTCATCAAACAATAATTTCTGGTTTAAACACAATTACTACTTAAATTATTTTACGAGTATAACTCGATAAAATGTTTTGAAAGATCTATAAAAATATTTAACAAATTATAACAAAAATCAATATTAAAAAAAAAACAATTATTAAAAAAAATAAACCACTTAACATAATTTTTAATGCTTCAAACATTTTTAACAACAGCTTCCGATAAGAGATGAGAGTGTCAAATATTTTTGCAATTGGCCATGCAAATCGGGTCCTATTTGTGTTCAACTTATACTGCCATATTCTGGTTTTGTTCCCATGCAAGAGATACCATTTTTCGTAGAAATTGACAATCAATCGCCACATTACGACATAATCAGTGTGGAGGCAAAATTAAAGCAACATTTTGTCTTTTTGGCACACAAACCATTAAAAAGAAATTTCCATACAAGAACATTGGTCAGGAGTCAATACAGTGAAAGCACCCTACGTCTAACGAAACGACTATATGAGGGCAAAATATGTGTACCCTCCGATACACCAAGGTCAACGTTAAACTTGAACTTCATCGTCTTTTTGCATTACACATTGCAAGTGAGGCTAAAAACTGGCTGTTGCCATTACGATGCAGATTTATCGGTGCCAGTAGTAATTGGCACGGAGCCATTGCAACTGCTGGCAGAAAATGAGTCGGTCACTACTCAGCCTACCAGCCGAGCACAAAGGCGTGCCTTGTTAGCATTACGCGAAACCGGCGAAATTGTGGACAATGGAAATATAACAGATGAGGATGAGCATATTGATGATCATCCGCCTTCTTATGATAGTTGTTGTAAGTATTTTGTATTTAAATGAGCTTTATTCTATATATTTTTATTTTATTTACACTAAATAAATTTAAATTAATTGGAACTAAATTGGAAATAAATTATTTTATTCTTTATATCAGAAGATTATGCCATATATTTTTTATAATACCACATGCTTTTAATAGTATGTGATTTTATTAAGAAAAGCCTTCCAATCTTTCTCATTTCCCTTCGCTAATGATTTATTACAAATACTCATGTAGGCGAAAAAGTTGCTAATAATATTTTAACTATTTTTTTGCAAAAGTTTGTTTATTCAAAATAAAAACACAACCAATAATAAACTATTGCTGGGTGAGTAACAGAAAACTCTTCATAAAAATATAGAAAGATTTTTCTGAAATCTTATACTAAGCTCAACAGTTCAATTATAATATGTATCAGGAATAAAATTTCGGAATTATGTCCTTTTTTTGTTTCTCTAAGTGGAAAGCATTGAAAACCACCGTGTGAGACTTAGACCCAAAAAAAAAATACCTTTGGGAATATATTATAGAAAGAATCACAGTACTTAGACCATGAAGATTCATTGTACTGTGGAACTCATTCCGATAATTACAACAACTTCTTATTGACATTTCTAATCAATTTCCTTAAAGAGCTGATTTAAGACCTTCTTATGATGTCAGACTATGGTATTTCAAGTCTGAATCATAAGGGGTCAATACAGAAGCATATTATATGCTCGGCAGTGTTGTCATCTTTCAAACAAAGTGGACTTAAGCTGTTGACAGCAAGGTTAAGACAAAAGAACACACACGTAGTGTGTTCAGTGATCGCATCAATTAGTGTTCAACAATTCTTGTAACATAAAGCCATAAGGAACCTTTCCACTGATTTCAGGTAGAATCGTTTGGTGTGCCTACAGCCATCAATAATTACTGTTTAATATTTCACTCAGATTGTCTCCAACCGTCTGTATCTAGTCTCACAAAAGATTTAGGCAGATAGTGTAGGACGAGGAACCCATTGAAGCGTGAAATCGATGGTTAAATTAACTTAAATTTCAAAAAATTATCATTTCTTTATTTAGATATTAGTTTCACATATAAAATATGTGTCTTAATTCTGAGTATCGTCATTTCTCTACAATTAATAGTGTTTAATTTAATTTTAATTTTAAATAATTTAATGCTCTTACATTTAACATATTTCTCAAATTAGTTGTGTTGAACTACATTAATTAAAAAAAATTTTTTCTTTATAGTACCACCCTCTTTTAGTTATGCCACACTTGGCAGTCAACAGACCTTAGAGTCCAGTATACCATCATTGCCACAAGAGACCAAACCTAATCAGCGAACACGCATTAATATGCCAAAATTTCCAGACTATAATACTTTTACCTCTGCACCGCAATCGGCTAACCGATCTGTTGATTCGGTGTACGATACACACTTATATAATTCCTCGACATCTTTGCCGGCTGAAGCGCGCACTGATAGTACCGGTAGAAGTTTAGATACCTTCGGTTCAAATTGTGGCATTTTAAATGAAACCGACGAAAGTGTTGTAGAAACGGAAGATATGTAAAATTAATTAGCTGTTCTATTATGCTCTGTCCAATTATTATACGTAATAAATTATTTACTTTTATAAGAGTTATGTTTATATTATAATATTTATATAATTATAATAATATTATTACTATTAATTATTATTATTACTATTAAAATAAATAACTTATACTAACATTGAATTATAAAAATAAATTTTCATATAATATTTAACTTAAAACGAGTTGTGGCATGAATGTTTTCATTTATTATTAGTTAATATATGTATATTAGTAAATATTATTAATATAAAACATATATAAATACGAGTATATATATTGTATTATTGTATTATGAATAAAATTAATGTATTTTTAACTTAATGTACACAATTATAAAACTTTATATTAAATAGTTAGTCAAGAATACGTTCGTAAATTATTACCATTTGTATACTATAATATTTATTATATCGTTTTTAAATTAAATAGTTTTGTTCGAAAATAAAATTATTAATTAAGTTACAATTAAGAATGCTTAAAAATCTAAAACAAATCTTATGTTTCTTCTTAGTATGAAAAATATCAGTTTGTAGAATTGAAGACATTTTCTTGATTCAATTAATTATTAATTATAAAAAAAAAAAATTAACTGATTATTAAATTGAAATTCTTATTCGTAACTTTTTTAATATGTACAATAATTTCTTTTTGATCTATATGAACTTATGTTCAAAGAGTCTGTACATAAGAAATCTGAGAAGATTTAATGTTACTTAATTAAAAATATACTGAAGAAAGTGTTTATGAAGACAATAGGCTACCTTACATCAATAAAGTTCCCCCTTGGTTCTATATTCCGATGTTGTTCCCTTTTAACCACTTAGTTCAGTTTAAAGCTTTAAATATTATCTTAACTTCGATCCCTTCGATCACACAGGAAATATTAGGAAATATATAATCTCATTTAATTGAAATATTAATGAAGTTACTTTTATGGCAAAAATATCACTATGTAGTTTAATCGAAATAGTGATATAGATACTTTAATTTATTTTCGTAATAGTTATGAATAAAAAACTTAAATACTTGTAAACGTGATTAGGAAAGATTAATCGATAGAAAGAAAGAATAATCTATAGATATTTAAAAGCCACATAAATTTCTTATATATCTAAAAACGTAATATTCATCTTTGTAATACAAATAACTTTGCTGGTGTATCAGGCCAACCTTGTTCATTCTTATATTGATAGATAGCTCTCTGAAACGAGTTCTTTCATAAAATAATCTAACTTTGCTCAATAGTATCATCACTTTCTTCTCCATTGTCTCAAATCCTTTCGCATGGATAGGATGCATCACGTTTTAATATTTCATATCTTATGTTTTACAGGCACCTCTATAATTACGTTTTTTCGCTGCATGTAGATTACTTATTTCATGTGGTTTTATTTCTTAATAAATCTGAATATTCTCTTCATATATATCTTCTCTTCTATATTTTCTTACATCTCATATCTTATATACCATAAGATATACCTTCTTACATCTTCTTTATATTTTATTTCAGCACACAGTCTTACCTACAACAAGTCCACTAATCTATACAACAGTTATAATAATCTATATACTATGCCACTTGATCACAGTAATAATAATCATAATAATAAACAGTTAAATAATCTATATACTATGCCACTTGATTACAGTAATCAAATCAACTTGTGGGTGCATTTATAATATCAGGTCTTGAACCAGTTCCTTCAACTTCTTCATCAAACTTTTCACAACATTCAATGCAGTCTGTGAATTTGTGCTACTAGCCCTTTCATCAAGGGTTTTAAATTTTTTCTCAACTTTCTATAGGACCAGATCCATATTGCAGCATTTATGACTACACAATAATGTAGTGTACTGCATAGTCGTCTGAATGCATTTCTTCGAACAATTCCAATAGGATATTTAGCCAAGTACTCAGCATGTAATCCTTACTACTCTCAACATTTAATCGTATTTAATTTTGAAAATATGCCTTTATATCTTTACTTAAAATATATTTTAACTGAAGCATTCTGAAAGAAACTCTTTTCCCTTCTGTTTAATCTTCTTTCATATTAGCAATACTTCGATTCAATACATAGACATATATATATCTATATGTCTATTTTATTTATTTATTTTTTTCATATTTTTATTTTCGCATTTAGGAAATAAATTTTATCTGAATCACAAATGCCTTCTAAATTTATTTATTATCTGTAAGAACCTTAAATCAATTTTGTTAAATATTGTATAATTGCTTGCACTTCAACCACACCAAATAGACTTTCTTCACTCTCGTGATGGAATAAATAATTTCACCAATTTCATAGTTGTTTTCTCAGATCCACGTTTTGCAAATCCGCTGTTTAAATGTTGTCATCTTTTTTTATGTTTATAATTTTGTTTAGTCTCATTTCTCTCCCACATATATTCAATCCACTGGTTGAGCTGCACGAATTCGTTCCCTCCAATACGATTGTCTGCTTCGAACCATCGACAATAAGCGATTAACATGATTAACTTCAATAGACATACTATGAAGCTGTCGGTTGAGTTCACGACTACTGATATAATCGTCCCTTTCACTTTGCGTAAATACTGTCAAACATCTTTCCGATTCTTTCATACAAGATTTTATACCCTTTTTAACTAGTCGCTTTTTAGCAATGATGCGTGTAGTTAAGATGTGGACATAGATATTATCGCCATGTACAGCTGCCTCAAGATTATCGTAATCTTGCAAAATACTGTCGAGGCACTGATGAATGCCAGAGAAGTTCTCTACCATATCACGAAGAAACGAAATAGTTTCTTGCAACAGATTGCTCGCCATATTATACTTGTATGATTTGGAATATTGAAGTCAAAATATTTACAAAACAATTTTGATACCAAATATATTAATGCTATTTTAAAAATATGTATTTAATGTTTTGTTATATTAGCTACTAAGTTAATTTTAAATGATTGATATTGAATTTAAAAATGTCTATTTTAAATTTACATTTATCAATAATTTTTAAAGTACATTTAACATACACTCGTATGTGTTTCCTCTCTCTAATGGCGCTAGCAGGTCATTTATGGAAGATATTGAGACCGCAAAATACGTGTTCGAATCAATGCTCAGCATTCTTTCACAATTGGGTATGAAAGAACAAAATCTTAGATGGGCATCATAATTGTATTCAATGAAGGAATAAGATGAAATAAAATAGATCAATACTACAAAAGTCGAGTTTATTGATCCAAAAAGAAATACTCCGATTCTTAATGGAATCACAACGCGTCTCTAGAGGGCTGTAAAAAATCCATCAAATTAATTATGAACATTATTTAAATTATTTAATATGGACGCAATGAGGTTTAAATAAAAGGTCGTTAGGAGAAGTATGAATTCATACAAAAACAACGGCTTTAAATGGCCCAATTTTAAAGTGATATCGGATTTTTATTAATTTAGGATTGTACTTTTTATAAGATTCTGTGCTTTTAACTATTTTTATCATTTGATGTAAAATTGACAAAATAATAGTCGATTTTGTACCAGAAAAGATTTACTGTAGATACACGAATATGGGTTCTTGATAACTTTTAGTTAAATTGATATATAGAAATATTATATGTTTTACTGTATACTTTAGCAGAAATGTTTCTTTTGAACAAATACACTTGTTCTACTCTTTACTCTAAATGAAGAATTTTTAATTTAGTAAGATAATAAGAATTAAAAATATTAGATAACATAAACACTAGCTAAACTTCTAAACATAACACTAGATCAAATCAAATTGATGAACTTGATTGAAAATGTAGCGCTTGAGTATATAATTTTTATTTTTTTCAATTTTATTGGAATCGATTATTTTAAGATCACAACCTAATCTAGGCCTTTTCTTTTGTAAGCATATTACAAAAGAACAACTGCTTATTTAGAAAATAACATATGAAGCAACAACACTGCTGGCTTATTTAGTCCAACCTTACCGCTTAACTAATAAGCAGCTCAAAACATTTGGTTGCCAACACTAATAATTCATCTATTGTGAATAACTTTTGGAAGTATCTACGAAATTTCCAGTTAACTGTCTACGGATGATTTCGTTAATTATTTGTATTTCGTGTGGTCATTGTTCGTAACAAATACGTTATTTTTTCTATTTATTATTTTACTGTTAAAAGGCATGAAAAATTATATTTTATTTACAATCATGTAAAAACAAATATTCTAACCAATAATTGCAAAGAATTATTATTCATTTTCGAAATTTCAACTTTGAATTTTATTACGTGTTTTACACATAAAAGCCTAACAAAATCGCCATTTTGTACAGAATTATCATCGAAAGTAGTGCTTATTTTATTTGTTCTTTTGTGACATGATTACAAAAGAAAAGGCCTTCTAATGAATACCTATACTACATAACAGACACAATTAACTTCAATTGAAATTATCTGTTGCATAGTTAGCATTTAATATCTGATCACTATCGTATATCTAACATAATACATACAGGTTTAGAAAACTTAAAAGTGTATATAATTTTATTGTCAGAAGTGACTTTTTATATATGTATGTGTATCCCCATTTGTATCTGGGGAATTTTAAAAGTTGATTATCATAACTATAAAAGATGGCAATCAGTAGTTTTATTAGCTTTAGTGGATTTCAGGTATGTGAATTATTATTTTATAATAACAGTTACATTTTTTCTCTATATTCAAATTTAAGAATCTGCCCTACTTTCAAAATATTATCCTGGTTTTTTTAAAGTCAACTTTCATTTAAATTTATTTCATAAAAAATGTCACTTTTTCGTTATCTCAACTTTATTTTTCGCTTAAAATTTATCTTTCGCATAGTTACGCATTTGAAATGTCCCCTAACTTAAGCCTACGTTTTAACGAAATTAAGGCCATTTTCCTTAATTTCGTTCCAACTTTAACACTGAATTTTGTATGGAGAAAACAACTTAATTTCGCTGAAACAAAAATGAAACTAAGATTTTTG